AATAATTTCACACAAAAGGGTTCTGGCACCACCAACGGTGCAACGCATGTGCACACATGCCACTGGATCCCCAGCGATCCGAACCAGGGTTGATGCACGGCCGTGCTCTAGGATGCAGTTGACATGCATGGCGCTGCAACGCTGTAGGCGGCGACGATATCCCAAGATTCGCGACCAACAAACATTCCATGGTGGTTTGGCACAGCCAAACCCACGTGCAACGTCAGTTTGTTCATCCGTTGACAACAGCACGCGTCGCGGCAGCAGAACGCAGTAGTCCGCGCGGGCATGCAGGGCCGGCAATGTGGCTGGCCAGCTGCCAGCGCGACTTCGGCAGAAGAGCCGAAATCCACGTGGGATCGTTTTGGGCGTGGTATCCGGCGCAGCTGCATCGCACTGCCAAGCGCCGCGGCCTTGTGATTGTAGCACCAGGCCCCGCGCGTTCCTCAAGGCGGGAAAGCAAGCTCCACACAAAGGAATCGCGCGCGCTCTTGTGGGGGCGGCGAAAACGATCGTACACAAAGGAAACTTATGTTGTGTGCCCCCCGCGTGGGCAGTGCAAACAGACCGCACACAAAGGAATTACACGAGACTTCGTGGCACACAAAGGAATTACAGCAACGCCCTTTGGGTTGCGTTCTTCGCGCGCGGTGACAGCTCCAAGCTGAAAAGGAAGGGGGGGCGGGACAAGGCAAAGCAGGGGAAGAGGAAAAAGAAGAGGTGGGCGAGAACGAAACGAAGGGAACAACGGAAGGAAACCAGGATGCGCGCAAGCGAAGCTAACACGCGCGCCGAGACAGTTGTTCATTCGTTCATTCGTTCGGTTGGCCGAGCGGCAGATGAATAGAAAAATTACCGTGTGCTGCCTATCGACGGGAATTCTTGGGAATGAAACCCGCGCTCTCTTCCCAACCCCCTTTCCCGCACCCCGTTGCGAGCGCGCGACGATGTTTTCTGGCCCGCGGACAGAGGACTGCCAGTCGCTGGTGAGCGGCCTTTCCACCCGTCACGCGTTCCGAACACATGCGACCAGCTAAACGCATTTGCCACGCAAACCGCCAGCTCCAAACACCGACGCCACCCCGATCCCCGCATCCGTGCCAGGCACACTCTCGACGACGCCCCCTTCCGGCGTAAAACCCCTAAAACCCTTTTGTGTGTATGTGTTTTGTTCCGTTCTGACTCTCGGACGTTCCTAGAAGTGCCCCTGGCCCGAGGTGCCCTCAGGATTTCCACGGAGGCCCCCACAGCCTCCAGAACACCCCTCACGGAGCCCAGAGGGCCCCAAACAAAGTCTCCGAAATGGAGCGAGAAGCTGGGGCCACTTGGGCCAAGGGCACCTCTGGCAACCCCCGGCGCTCCCCACGAAGATCCAGGGCTCTGCAAGTCGGTGTTCAGACACCCTGACTCGGTAGGGCAGCAAGTCGGCATATGCACCCAGAACTTCGTGTTGAAGCGCTGATGCCTGAGCCACGGGATAGAGGTGCTGGTGTCGATTTCCGAGTTGGAGGCGGCTTGGGGGTCTGAACTGGATGGGGACCCGAGGACACTGGTCCCTGGATCCTTCCTGGGGTCCATCTGTTGCAGCTTTTTCACCGCGGATCAGCTGTTTCATCCTGAATAGTTTGCTTGTTTGTTTTTGCCCGGGCCAAAAACGGGCCTCGGAGGCCGAAAGACGCAGAAAACAATCTCGAGCCCAGCGCCTCGAAACGCCTCCCCCCCCCTTCTGCTAGCCAGAACCAGGTGCCAGGCCACCTCAGCGGGTCTGCAGGGCTGGTGTCGACTGTCGAGACCCCTGGAGGACTGCACCCCTCCGACACAGTCCGAGGTCTCCAGATCGTAGGGCCAGGGCGCCACGGCGGCACGCTGGATGTCCAGGCTTCCCATGGAGCCCAGATGCTCTGCAGTAAGTCGGAGATATGGTCTTCGACATTGCAGCCTTCTGCGGCTTGAAACTCGGAGGGTGGACACTCACCTGCAGAACACCTGGAGCCTCCAAGTCGTTCGGAGGGAGTCTGGTAACAACCGTCGGCTTGCTAAGCTGACCAACCACACTCTGATTCGCAAGATACGACCGTGTGCACCTCTGGAAAGGCGATGTTGAAGCCGTGTGACGTGCACATGAGCAGTGGAAGGGGGCTAGCGAGATCGGCTGTACTCTCGCGCCTGCTCTTCCAGACGCTTGCCGGCATGGCAGCAACCTCTGACCAATTGACACCTCTTTGCACGCATGCACGCACAGCGTGTTTTTACACCTCGCGCGCACTCAGAAACGAGCTGGGCCCTCAAACAAAGAGCTGGGCCTGCCAGGCCTGTTCCTCGGCACATCACCGCGAGGGCACGCCCCTGACCCCCCTTGCGGGGTCCAGGGGGAGGGCCCATTCTGGTACCCTGCGTTCTTGTTTACATCGGCTACAGGGTCTGTGCAGTACCCGCTTAGGGAGCCGAATTACGGCACTGTCCTCGACCTGGACGGAAGCAAGACCGCCACAAGTTGTGTGCGTAACGCGATCGGCACCGAGGTGGTCGGCACGAAAAATACTGGTGACAAGGGGGGGGGCCTGCAGACAGAGAGGGCACTGGAACATGGCGTTGGGCTGACACTGGCGAGGGGACAGCGCCTAGTTTGGGGCTCCGGTGGTATCACGAGTTTGCCAATTCCCTCTTTCAAGGCCCCTTCGTCTCCTATTCGGGGAGGGAGGATGTAACCCATCAAACCTGCCCACTCTCCCTCTTTTTTCTAGGCAACTCTCATGGGCATCGTTTCTGGATCCGGGCTGGTGAGGATACACACCTGTCGGAAGAAGTGGGCAGAAGCATGAAGGGGTGGGTAGAAGCATGAAGCAGGAAGAGGCTGAACGTAAACTGGGTTGCCGCCCGCACCTGCAGAGGAGAAGGGATGGAAAACACAACGCCTGTTGGAATAGGAATCCGGGCCTACAAGTACAGTCACCCAGTGTGGGAAGGATCCGCGATAAGGATGCAAGGGCCTTGGAATACCACGCCGAAGCTTTTCGAGCGGGGTGCGGCCAACGAAAGTGGCCAAGGATGGGCCGAGGAGGCAAGGATGCAAGGGTACCCTTGGGAAGGTTGTCAACCCTTCCTATGCAGGCTGACTGTAGACCGGGATCTGGAAATCCAGACATAGTTCAACGACCGATGGGCACGCGAAGCGCCAAGAGCTCTGCCCAGCCCTGGCCAGCGGCCCCATCAGCCGACGCCCCGCTAGAACGCTTTCGGCCGCGGCCCGAACCTGCGAGCTCATGGCGGACCCCGAGCCCGTGCGTGCGCCCCCCTCTGATGGGCCTGCTTTCCACCACCACCACCACCAGAAGTTGAAGGGGGAGGGACTCCTCCTCCTCCTCCTCCTCATCCAACCTATGGTGGTGGTGGTGGAAAGCAGGGCCATCACCCTTGGCGGCCAGGTCTGGAAGTGGGACGAGCCCTCGAGTTTCGTAAGAAGCTGGATCACAACAGCGGCAGAGGGACACGGACTGAGAAGAAGGGCGGGACTTGGAGGAGGCAGCTCCTGGGAGATCCTCGTGGGAACGGTGAAGGGCCGTCACGCCCGATGAAGCAGCCAGTGGGCCAGATTAGCCCAGGAAGCCTGATCAATCGAGACTGAGCGGAATTCAGGGGAGGGAGGGAAGGGGGCGGGGGGGCGGGGGGGGAAGGGGTAGGGAGGGGACCATCAGAGCAATGGCGGGACCTAGCCTACAATGTTTGACGCGAGCTCCCGCTGCAAACATCTCACGGACCCCGAGCCTAACGCATCCCCAAAGAGAACGAGGAGGAGGAGGAGGACGAAGAGGAGGAAGACCAAAGTCCACCCGGCTCACCGGATCTCTTGAAACGGCAAAGCGGAACCATACACGAACGCATGGCCGGCGATGGCGCCAAGGGGGTTAGCGCCGAGAGGGGAGAAGCTTCTAAGAGGACGGGGTGCCTTCACGGAAGGCAGGGGCCTGCGTGCTTCTGAGAAGCCACCCGCCCTCTCGGGAGCCCCGCTGCCTTCACCGAAGGCCGCCCCCACTCGCGCCACCACCCCGGTCTGCTCCAGAGCAGAGAGGCAGGAGCTGGCGTGAAGCAAACGGGCCCCGAGGGAAGCGGACCCTGGATTCCAACCCGGGGCCCCTACCAGGGGCTCTGGCACTTCATCTCAGGCCTGAGTTTATGAGGGGGGGGGATACATTGGGGGCGGGGAGAGTGCACCGCTCGTGCACCTTTTGGGCCCCAAGGGGCCTCTTCAGGGCCATGTTGGGGCACAAAAAATGCACCCGTCTTCTTCACACCCCCAATTGATCAAACCCCCATTACTCGACGCCCGATCGTCCTGAGCCGTTCTCTGACCGTCCCGGGGCCCGTGGAGGGCCCCGGGAGGCCCAAAGCGGCACAAAACTCAGGACCTGCTTCCCTCAGGACACGTCTGATCCCTGTCGAAGGAATCCAGAACACACCAACGCGGATTGGGGACCCGGGGATCTGGCGCGCGGGCGCCAGCTCCACGGATCCGGGAACGCCAGATCCACGGATCGGAGGACCTACCCCCCCCGAAACACGGCGCCAGTGCCGCCCGCTCTGTCGGCGGAGCGCGCCGATCCCCCACGCTAACAAGGAACCGCTCGCGAATCCACGCGCCTCCATGCACGTCTGCGCAAGCACGTGAGATACCCACCCCTGCAGGCCAGAGTTCTGAACAAAAACAGCTGGGGAACAAGAACTCGAAGGAAGTCTGCAGCCAAATGAACCCCAGAAGTGATGGGCCTGTCTTCCACCACCACCACCATAAGTTGGAAGGGGGAAGGAGGTGGAGGAGGAGGAGGAGGTGGAGGAGGAGGAGGTGGATGAGGACCCCCTCCCCCTCCAACTTATGGTAGTGGTGGGGGTCCGCCCCCGCAGTATCGATTGGACACGCCGGCAGAGGGCTTACAACTGGTCGCAGGATCTGCGCTTCCTCGAGGAGTGACGAGCCGAGGCCCCCGAACGCCGGCGCGACAGGCCTGCGCCGTCGCCGTGCTGCCAGGCACTGCTGCCGCCGCTCCAGTCCTGAGGGGCGACGATGGGGGGTGACTGGCTCGGGGGGGGGGGGGGGAACAATCGACCTGGAATTTGCAATGCATCGCCGGCAGGCCCCCGCTGGCGGATCCGCACGTTCCTGGGCGGGGTGGGGCCGATGCGTCATCCCCTTGGGCATATCTCGCTCTAGCGTTGCCCCTGAGGTCCTGCGCCCCCTGGCCACCCCAGTCCTGCGCCCTCTGGCCCTTCCAGGGCGGCAGGACGACCTGCGGCGGCGCCACCTCGGCAAGCGGCGCGGCGAGGGGCGATCAAAGGAGCAGCACCGAGCAACGCATAAGCGTAAGCCTCCTCTGAGCTCCGCGCAGACTTCTAGGTTCGGCGCTGGAGCCTCCTCTGAGCTCCGCGCGCCACGGAGTTGGGGCCAGCGCCCACTCCAGAGGTCCGCGCTGAGCTACGCGAGGTCCGCGGGGTCCGATTCTGAGGGGCAGCGATAAGGGTGGGGGTCTGGCTCAGAGGGCGGAACATCGACCTGGAATCGGCGATACATCGCCGATAGATCGGTGATATGCCCCCGCTATCGGGCCCCTGTGGGCGAGCGAGGGTCGATGCATCCACCCTGAGCCTACCGCCCCCTAACGTTGCCCTGGATTGTGGCCATCTTCGAGTGTGGCCCCCAGAGATCTGGACCCACTCCCCGGGGCCGGATCTTCACCCCGAGTCGTTCTGCGACGGTCCTGGAACCGGGTCGGGCCCCCAGAAGCCGAAAACTACACAAAATTGTCCCTACTGTGACCACTGCGCTTCTTCGGGGGAACATACCCTAAACCCTTCGGGGGGGAACCTAAGTTGGGAGCGCAGAACAACATTAGGGATATAGGTTTTTTTCATTGCACCTGTATCAGGCGAAACCGCCCGTTCGTTCAAGGGTATCCCCCAAAACTGTGGAGCTAAGTTGGGGCACGAAGTCCTTGTGATAGTAGGGTCAGGAGTGGTATTATGCTGAATGAAGAGAGGCGACACACTCCCACGAGGACGCAGCAACTCTCGCGCGGAGGGCCTGCGCAGGCCGCACAGACGCAGCACTCCGCGCGGACAGCGAGGGCGCCCACGCACGGCCCTGCGAAGGCGGGCAGCCTGCGCGCCAGCGCGCAGCGCCCCAGAGGTACAGAGGGACCACCGCCACCAGACAAGAGCGCTCCACTACTCGCAATATACCTGCTCGCAAATGGCCTGGATCCGCCGCGGGGAAGGGCACGATCCACCACATCGATGTGTTTTTTTTTTCTGACGTTTGCGGGTAGGCACCATGCGAGTAGGAGAACGCGCTCGGTGAACCGCCGATGGGCTCTCGGTGGCGGTGGTGCGTATCTCTCGTCCAAGCGCTGGCGGCTCCGTGCTCGATGTGCCGCCCCGAGCAGCCGCTGGGATGGTAGATCGACCAGTTGAGGGACAACGATAGGTTAAGAAACAACTCCTGGGAGGTCTTCGCAAGACCGAATGAAGGCTACGAAGCCCGACTCAAGGGTCATGAAGCCAGGCTAGCCCAGATTGAGCCAAAGACTGAGCCGCATCAAACAGGATTAAGAGAAACTAACCCGGACGGCGTTTGACTACGGATATACAGTCAAGTCGCATAATGAGTAAATGCGCGGAAAGGATGCAAATGCCTTGGAGAGCCATGTCGACGTTGTCGAACGGGGTTGGCGACCGGAAGTCGCAAAGTCGCCAAGGATGGGCAAAAGGGGCAAGGATGCAAGGGTAGCCTTCGAAAGCTGTTCATCCTTAATATGCGACTTGACTGGACAAGCGCCGATGCTGAATTTAACCAGGCTGTTATCAGACGGCAATCGGTGCATCCTAAGAGAGGGGGAGGCCGGCTCAGGGGGCTGGTGGGGGAGGGAAACATCGGCCTGGAATCGGCGTTGCATCGCCGACAGATCGGCGATAGGCCCCGACATCGAATCCACATGGGCGACATAAAGAAAAGGCTTTTAAGCGAGATGGCATAGCGACCTTACGCGGCTGCTTACGCGGGCCACCAGCACAGCACGCTACACTGGAAGCGAGGACGCTGACGCGCCACTTGACGCGGGCAGCTTACGCGCCAATGTCGGTGAAGACGACCCCTGTTGTGCGTCGCTCACATTTGGTCCTTGGTGGAGTGGGCTGTCGGGCCCCTTATCCGCGATGAACGGGCAAGTGGGGGTCGATGCGTCCCCCCCTGAGCCTATTCCCACGCATCATTGATCCCGGCCAACGTTGCCCAGTGCTCACTGTATCGCCCAAGCAACGGCTGTGATGGCACCTGTCGGCTGCTCGCTCATCGATATTGGTGCGCCGGGGGAGGGCCAGCGCGGAGAGAGGCAAGTGAGGGCGGTGGAGCGCCGCGAGAGGCGAGGGGCGAGGATGTTAGCAAATCGTAGTGAAACACACATGACAGGGGGTCGTGGGGCACACACACATAAGGATATATCCGCCTTGTGGGGCCACCGAGCTGTAGGACCCAAGTTTGCTGTTCCCTGCGCCAGTTCCAATTTCCAGTTTCCACTGTTACAATTCTGCTTCTTGCTGCTTACGCTTCCTTGTTGATGGACCGCGCGAGGGGGGGGGGGCGAGAAGGAACCTAGTTACCACGCCCGAATCGGGTGCTCTGAATTCCTGGGGGAAGCGTGGGCACGTACAAATAAATGAAATTCGCGCCCCCGAGGCCATACACCGTCATCAATTATACAATGTTCGCGTCCCCGAGGCCATAAACCCTGGTGAATGACTCAATAGTTACGCCCCCGAAGCCATAAACCCTTGCAAAATACGCCGTACTCGAGTCCCCGAAACCATCAACCTTCGTAAATTGCACAAAACTTGCGTCCCCGAGGCCATAAACGCTCGTAAATCACTCAATGTTCGCGTCCCCGAAGCCATACTCCTTTCTGTAGGATACACAATAATCGCGTCTCCGGAACCATCAACCTACGAACATGATACAATATTTGCGACACCGAAGCCATAAACCTTCGTACGTTACACAATGTTCGCGTGTCCGAAGCCATCAACTCTCGAACATTACACTGTATTCGCGTCTCCGAAGCCATACACCTGCGTACATTACACTATATGTGCGCCCCCGAAGCCATACACCCTCGTAAATTACGCACGATTCGCGTATCCGAAGCCATAAACCCTCGAAGTGCAACACCGAATTCAACAATATCATCATAATCTCAATGTGTCTTGCCGATTACTCATCGTCTTCGCGTGAAGTCCCGACGCTGCTTCACGGCTGCGCCAAGGCCTCAAGATTTCGCTCTTGTATTGCCCATTATCCGAGGGAGGGGGCTGGCGGCAGGGGGCGAAGCCCTTACGGAATTACATCTTGAGAGAAAGGGGGAGAGAGAAACAAAAAAAGAGAACGAGAGAGACATAGAGACACAGACTGAGAGACAGAGAGGCAGAAAGATGGATAGGAACCGACAGAGAGACAGAGACACAGAGATGTATAAACAAACAACACATAAAAAAACTGAGAGATGGAAACTGGGATGGGAGGGGCAAGACAGGGAGAGCGGGAGGACGAGGACGAGGACGAGAAAGGGAGGGAAACGCAACAGTCGCGGGCAAGTGAAAAGCCTCAGATGGTGCTCACGCGATCACGCCGCGCCATGCTGACAGGCACCTCGTCGTCGTTCCTTCGCTGTTCGGTTGGCCGATTGTTACGTACCATCACGTTCCCAGTGATGACGGGCAAAACGAAAGGGACGGGGCCAGCTCAAGGGGGAGACCACTGCCCTGGAATCGACGACACGTCGCCCATACATCGGCGACGGGCCCCCGATGGGTGTTCCGGCTACTCCTCCTCCACTTCCTCCTCCGCCTCCTCCACTTCCTCCTCCTCCTTCTCTTCCACCTCCCCCTCCTCCCCCTCCTCCTCCACCTCCTCCTCCTCCCCTGCAGGGGGGGGGGAGGAGGCCAAGCGGAGCAAGGTCGGGCACGTGCCCGACGTGGATTGCAGATCCGTGGGCAGGGCGCGCGGGCGCCAAATCCACGGGTCGGGGAGTGAGTATCTTTTGGCCGATCCCAGTCCACACGGGCGTGGCCTGGGCCCCACTGGCAGATTTACCCCGCTGGATGGGTATGTGGGCTGTTCCCTTCGGGCTTCGAGGGGTATGTCCTCAATCGGGTGAGATGGTGGGGCTCGAGATGGGGATGGGATATGGATAGGGATCGGTTGGACAATACTGAGCACCCCACAAAACATGAAGCCAAAGGCACATCATCTGGCTACGGGGCGCATCGATCTCGCGCTCCGTAGCCAGATGAGACCCGTCGCTAGTCCACGCGCCCTCCTCCATGTTTGTTTCTCCTCGACAGGAGGAGGAGGAAGAGGAGGAGGGTCGATGCAGCCTCTCTGAGCTTATCCCCCCTAACGTGGCTCACGAGGGTCGCAAAACAAACATCACCCCATAGATCCAAAGCCGTCCAAAATCCAGGTGCTCAATGATCTGCGCGTTCGGCCCCTGGGCCTTTCACGTTGTCCCTGCCGATTCGACGTCCTGCATGGGTACTGACAGAACAGGTACAATGCTCAAAAGCAAATCCGCCACCGTGCCCTGAGGCACGAGTTGGAATACCCTCGGATCCCTTCGAGTTCTCGGTATTGAATATTCTGACTATTCCAATGGGGGCCCAGGGCCCCAACTTCAAATCTTCTGGGCGCTCTGAGGTGATCCCATGGTCGGTCGCGTGATTTCCCCAGGGGCAAAGGGATCCCCAGACAGGCCAAGAGGGCCCTAAGAGGCCCCCCAGACGGCCCAAGATGGCCCAGAGCCGCCCGACGATCGTCCCGAGACGCCCAAAATGGCCCACAGACACCCAAAAGGCCCCAAACACGCGCCAAGAAGATTCCAGAAGGCCTCCCAAATTCACAAACTTGCTGGATGATTTTGAAGCCTAGACGGCCCAAGAGAGACCCAAGACAGCAGAGACCCTTAAGACGGCCTAATAGATCCCCTGTTGGTCGTTCCAAGTCCTCCCGTGACCCTGACGGAGGCAAACGCCCCTCCGCCGCAGGATCGGTGCAAAGGCCTGCAACACCGCCGTGCTCCCCGCCCCACCTACGGCCGGGCTCCGCCGCCCCGCGCGAGGCCGCGGGCGGAGCCCCGCGGGAGGTTTTGACTCGCGCGTTCCGAAGCCATGTACCAATTAAATTGAAACTACAGGGTGCTGGGCGGAAATGGGAGGGGAAGGGGCCTCCCCCTCCTCCTCCTCCTCCTCCTCATCATCATCAGCATCATCAGCATCATCAGCATCATCATCATCATCATCATCATCATCATCATCAGCATCAGCATCAGCATCAGCATCAGCATCATCATCATCATCATCATCATCAGCATCAGCATCAGCATCATCATCATCATCATCATCATCATCAGCATCATCATCATCCCTCTGTTCCTCCTCCTCCTCCTCCCCCCCTCCTCCATCCTTCCTGCTTACATCACCTCCTCAAGGTCGCACTATCTCGCATTAGCGCTGCGCACACTCGCCTGGAAAGTGTGCACCGGTTGCCAGGATGGGCGGCGGATCGTTTTCAAAATGTGGCCGTCGCCTCCGTGCCGCGCGCGTTCGTGTTGACATATGGCAGCAATATCAAAGATGGAAGCGATTATTGTTTAATGTGGGTCTCGCCCTGGCGCCTCGCGCAATGGTTCATATTATTGCAGGATGTTTTGGGATTGGGAGAAATAAAGTACCAGGAACGGTTTTCTGGCACGATCTAGGATCGTCTGTGCGCAAGTCACTTTGATTTGCGGCGTTACACGCCCAAGAATGTGTTTTTTGTCTCCCTGATTCGCTTTGCGACTGTCAGGACGCAGCAACCATCTTGCGTCGCGGCGTTGAAGTCCCGGGAACCGTGTTCACGATTGCGGATTTTCCGACGTTTGCTTTTTGATGGGGCACTGCCCTCCATGAGAATAATGTATTGTGCAGACCTGGGAGGAGACGAGGAGGGAGGTAAATTACAAATTTGTTGATGCTTCTTGGGTTTACACAACTGGTCAACTTCCTCCTTCTTCATCCATAGATCGTCAACATACGCAACTCCTCCATGTCGCACCGCCGAACGTGTCGTCAAGCTGCGTCCGCACTTGCGACCCTGAAGTTTTAAATCTGCAACGGGGTTAACCATGAAAGGCGGGCGGGGTAAACATGTTGTCGTTTCCTAAGCACCGCCTGCATGTGTCCTGACACCTGCAACAGCTTTACTGATGGAGGGGCGTTTTCAAAACATCGCCCTCATTTTGGCGCCACGAACCTTCTCTTTAAAAGCTGGCAACATCTTGAAGGATGGAGGTAGTGCCGTTTTCAACGTGGAATTCCCGCCATGGAGCACCGCGCACTCGTGCGCATAGTTTACAACATTCCCAGGGCGGGGGCAGCGTCTTGTCAACATGTAGATTTCGGTTCAGCGTCGCGCACGTTTGTTTCACACCGTTGCAACGTTTGCAAGGGTGGGCGACGGCCCCTTGTTTATAAAAAATCGATATGGCCCTGGCGCCGCGCACAACCAACCCGAAACATTACAGGAAATATGGGGGTTGCGGGCGATCCTCTGGTTTAGCGTGCAGGATTCGATTGGAATTTCATAAGACTGGCCAACTACAACAGATGCATGGGCGAAGAATGGCTCCGCTTGAAATCAAAACGTGTCATTCGCTTGCAACTTCATGGACAATGAACTTGAAAACGCGCAACACCTGCCCAGATGGAGGGCCGCTCATGTTCAAAATGGGATTGTCGCTTGAGACCCCCTCGACGCCCATGGCCATACACCAAAACGCACACATTCGTCTCAACACGTTTGTACTCGACAAAAGAAGTGGGGGCGTTTGTCGTTGTGAATGTGTGTTTTTGTTCGCATGCTCCTCATCCTCTCGGGCGTCGCCCTGGATGCGTGGCGCGTCCCCTCCTGCAATGTATGGGGCTGGTGTACATGATGCGCCGCTGACGGCACCACCACCAGCTTTTTGCCTCCCGGTACTTCGCCTCTGGGTTCATGTTCAAGGCGTTCCTTTGCATGCACTTCGCTTTCGGCAGCGCCTGTTCCCGGGGTTTTGCCCTCTCCTCGCCTTGACGTGAGGCCCCTCCGTCTGTTTTCCTTCCTCTGTTAATTAAAGCTGTGCGCGGCCCGCTCAGCTTCGACCTGAAGAAGCTCGCTCTCGACCCGCGGATCAAAAAAGTTGTTGTTCGCATGGGTCACTCCTAGAATGGTAGACACGAACATCGAACATATGCAACAGCATCACGGAGGAAGGGCGGCTCCTTGTCAACATGCTGCGGTCGCTTGCGACAGCTGCACTAGAATCGCCGACCAAGCTAGTTACAGGGAGGCTTGAGAAAAACAAAAAACAAAAAATAGAAAAACAGTTTAAGTGGAGGAGGCCAGGGCTCGGAACACTGGCAGTGGGTGAGCGAACCCGAATCAGCAAGGATGCCGTCGCAACGGACGGAAAAGGGAACCTGGGAAAGTGGAAGGCTGGCCCCAGCCACTTGTGCTCCAGCTTCCATGTAGACGCAACAACTGCACGGATGGAAGGCGGTCCAATTTCATCTTCATCAAGGAGTTTTCGCTTGGGACTTACTCGGCACCCATGGTAGCAAGTAAAAATAAGTGAAATAAGTTGACATTTGAGGCGTTCCTTGCTGTTCAACACGGGGATATCGCAAGGTACAAGGTTGAACTGTATGACCAGATGATTGAAGCGCTCAAATTTACTCGGCGGACACGAGGCTGTTATGTCCTTTTCAAAAACCTGGCCCTCGCCATAGCAGGTCCACACAGTGCTGGTCGTACAAGCTTGGTTTTTTGCTGGGGAAAGACATATTTTAGGGACTTTTGACGAGGCGGCGAGGGGCGGAAGAGTGCATTGCAGCATCTTTGATATATCTTGGGTTAAGTCTGGCTGTTTTCCCTTGTGTGTATCATATGCGAGAGTAGGAAGAAGTGTAAAAACGACTTCGCCCTACTAGCACCGATCAGTGTCCACCGATGTCCTGACTAGCTTCAATTAGCGCGTACGGGCGCCTATCATAATCTAAATATGGCGCCTATCAGAGCCAACCGCCAACCATCGACCACCTTCTAGCCACAACACGCGCTAATGGCAAAGCAAAACAACAGCTGATCAAACAAATGACTCTCGCGTATAACACACCCCCACCTCCTCTTCCTCATACCTTGACGCTGCCGCCGCAAATCGGGGCAGAGGCTGGCTGCCCTCCGTGTCGCTCGGCGCGCAGGCCGCCCGCCGGGCGCGACAGGGCGTGACTAAGCCCGGGGCTCCTGGGGGCGCCTTCGGCGTGGCGCCGGCGAGGCCGCCCGCCTGAGGGAGAACATTGGGACACTGGCTCAGGGGGGCTAGCCTAGACTTCCGACGAGCAGGGGGAGACTGGCCGAGACGATGAGGGGGCACGAAGCGCGAGGAGGCACGAGGAGGAGGGCGAGGAGAAAGGGGAAGGAGGGGACGAAAGGAAAAGGGAGGAGGAGCAAGAGGGGAAGGATTATGACAATCACCACCACCCCCACATCACCACCATCATCATCACCACCACCACCATCAACGCCGCCACCATCGACATCACCATATGCCCGCCACCGCCACCAACATGACACCACCATCATCAGCGTCATCTCCCTCCCCTCATTTGAAGGTCCTGCACCCACGTCGCGCTCTGCGCGCCGAGGCCCACGGCCGGCGCGCCAATGCCCGCCGCTGGCGTGGCAACCTGAACGTCGTCCGGCGGGGGCGGCGGCCTGGCTTGGCCGCGCCGCGCCATCTCTCCTCCTCTCCTTTTTCCGTCCTCCGCTTCACTCTCCTCCTCCTTTTCCTCTTCCTCTTCTTCCGCCTCCTCCTCCTCCTCCTCCTCCTCCACCTCCGCCTCCTCCTCCCCCGCCTCCTCCTCCTCCGCCTCCACCTCCTGCACCTTCCTCTTTCTCTTGTTTTCCTCCTCCGCCTCCTGCTTCTCCTCCGCGGCCTCCCCCTCCTGCGCCCTCCTCCTCCTCCATTGTTTCCTCCTCCCTCCTCTCCTACTCCTCGTCGTTCTCCTCGTCCTCCTCCTCCTCCTTTTCTTCCTCCTCCTCCTCTCCCGACCCCGCCTCCTTCTCCTTCTCCTCCTCATCCTCCTCTTCCTCCGTTTCCTCGTCCTCCCCTTCCTCCTCCTCTTCTTCTTCTCGTTACCAGTCTGAATAAGATGCCAACGGTAACATCATCATCATCATCATCATCATCATCATCATCATCATCATCAACATCAGCATCGCCACCACCACCATCAACATAGCATTATCACCGTCACCATCAGCACCACAATCAACAGCTGCTTACTCACTTTAATCAACAAATCCATGAGCAGCAGACGTGGCATCACCACCTGGACCACGGCCGCTCCCAGTATAACCAATATCCTTAGGAACAGTAACAAAGTCATCATGATCGTCAGCCGCACAATAACCCCGATCATCATCAGCATCATCATCTTCATCATCCTCATCATCATCAACATCAGCATCAGCATCAGCATCAGCATCATCATCAACATCATCATCATCAGCATCATCATCATCATCATCATCATCATCATCATCGGTAGCATCATCATCAGAAGCAACAGCTTGACCTGCATCGGTATCGCCATCACCATCAACAACGGCAATATCAACATCAACATCAACATCAGCATCAACAGTACCGTCATCAACACCAGCATCAACATCATCAACACCATCATCAGCATGGTCAGCATCATCACAACTAGCATCATCATCATCATCAGCATCACCTCCACCATCACCATCGCCACACCTGCACCCTTACCATGATCAGCATACCCGTCAGCAGCACAATAACCATCATCAGCAGCATCAGCATCATCCTCAGCATCATGATTATCATCATCATCGTCATCATCATCAACAGCATCGTCATCATGATTATCAGCATAATCAGCAGCAACAGCATTATCAACACCCATGAGCATGCTCACCAGCAGCATACTCATCATCATCAGCATCATCATAATCTCCAACATCTACGTCAGCCTCAACCTCATCAGCGACATCAGCATCACCAGCATCGTCAGCAACATCAGCATCGACATTTACCCTCCCGCACTTGCTTTCCCTCGTCGTCCCTCCTCCTCCCCCCTGAACCTGAGAGAACTCCGTTCAGACGCGGTCCGAAGGCCACGCCGAAGGATGAGGGGTCCACACTGGCAACTTGTTCGTCCATCCTAGCCAGTGCGTCGTTCGGGGTCGGTCCCTGGCGGCCCCAGCCCAGGGACAAAAAATGAAATGTCAACCCTTTTGAGTTTCTCTGCTTCTCGCGCGCCCACCTTCCCCCACCCTCTCCTTACAATATCGATCCCCAGGGCGTATCCAGGATTGCGTGCTAACCGCATGTCAAAGCGGATCCAGCAGCGGGAACGAGCCCCACAAAGCCCAAACAGAGCCAAACACACATCAACACAAACGCCTTCATCCTCGGACGCCCTCCCTCCGCCCGCCCCCTTCCTCGTCTCCTCTATCAAGGGCCCGCTGCAACATCGGTGGGCTCACTGGACGGAGAGGACAAGTAGGACGAAAAGAGACAAAATGTCCTAACTTGCCCTCCTCCTCAACCTCATACCTGGTCCTCCTCCGTCATCTTCCTCCTCCTCGTTATTCTCGTCCCCCTCCTCATTTAACGTTCGTTGTCATACATCACGGGGAAGAGGGAGCCCGAAGGTTCACCCCTCAACAGTCAGAACGGTTCGCCCCCCCCCTCCTCATCCACCACGGCCTCCTCCTCCTCCTCGTCATCATCATCAGCAGCATCACCTTCATCATTATCAGCATCAGCATCACCATCATACTCGTTAGCATCATCATCGCCATCACCATCACCATCACCATCACCGTCATCATCATCATCATCCTCATCATCCTCATCATCATCATCCTCATTATCCTCATTATCCTCATTATCCTCCTCATCCCGTCCTCGTCCGCATCCTCCTCTACCTCCAATATTGATCCACCTCCTCCGCTCGTCCTCCTGATAGAAATGTCCTCCCCGTCGCACCACAACAAGGCGCGTCCGTAGGCCAGGCCAGGCAGTTTGCCTGAGACATCCTCGCCAGATCTGATGCTGAAGCTTGAGAACTGCATCAGCTTCAAAGATGGAACCCAAACTGTTTTCCAAATGTGGTTTCCGGTGTAGCGCCGCGCAAATTCGTTGTTTTTTTCTGTGACGTGTCAAGGATGGGTTCTCGCATGAGTCCGGCGCGCGTCAAATTTTCGGGAATGGATACTTGCTCGTTTTCAAAAGGTGCTTCTCGGCTCGGCGCCGCGCATATTCATAGAACGCTACCTTCACTGGCTCACGCAGGACACATCATACGGTGAACGTTGATCCTACACAACCCCAACAGTCCGAGGCACACCATACCAGTATTTCACATTCATACGACGTAGCCTTCACCATCCCAAGCAAAACAACTTCGATTCACCGCGCAGCCGAAAGCCCCAACCCTCACCATGCGATCCCAAAGCGTACTATCATGACTCAATCTCCACCATCCGACGCACAACATGTTATTCGGCGTGGGTCCATACAATCCAACCATCATATTCCCATGTGACACAAAGAATGCAATACACACCCACCTGTCCCAACCAACACCATCCTGCGCAACGAATCGCAATTCTGTCCACATACATGCGATCAAACCCTCAAATGCCGATGACAAGAAATACTCGGCACGCATATGCAAATGTTCAACCTCGACCCGCCCATTGGCCTGGAAGAGGTCCGTGGGCCCACGAGGCAACGACATGAACGCATGGATCACAAATACATATTGACTCCATACGTCTACCCCTCGCCGATTCCGATTTGGCACCGAAGCACTCCCCAGGCCGCCCCAGGCGCTCCCAGACGCTCCATGGCGCTTCCAAGCGCTCTCAAAGGCTACAATCCTTCGCCAAGCGCTCTAAGGCTCACTGTCGCCAGCAGCACAAAAGGCATCCACGGCAAGCGGACCAACACCGTTTTTCACAGTGGGGATCTCGCCTTGCTGGCGCAACAAACAAGTAGGGGGCGGGTCGTTTTCAACAAGGGTTTCTCGCCCTCGCACCGTGCTAATTCGGCTTCCAATGTGTCACGCTCTTTTCAAGACGGTGGGGACATTGGACAAGGAAACCTTCGGTCAAAAATCCATGGTCTGGAATCCAGTGGAACGCAATCGTGGATGGGCCATATATATATATATATATATATATATATATCACCGCCGCCCTCATCATATGAGGGATCCTCCAGGGTCTGCAGACTCCTGGGCACATTCCTTAACAAACGCCCCCCACCGTACTCTCCCTGGCCACGCACACATTCAAATACAACGTCCACCATCCACAATCACTTGACGCCTCCCCGACCTCTACGACACGGCATTCCATATTGCGCAAAATCTAACACGGATGAAAATCAGCTCCTCCTTCGAACAATGACTCTCGCGCAAGACTTCCGCGAAGCATACGTCAAGAACTTTGACAACCTGCAAAGCTTAAACGGATGGAGGGCGTGTCCTTCTCAAAATGAGGCTCAATTCCGCAGAACAGACGTCCACGACTTTGACGTCCTGCCAAGCTCAGACGGCTAGAGGGCATGCGCTTCTCAAAATGGGGCAACCCTCGGCACCGTTCAAGTGGGGGAGGATCCTTTTCAACAGGCGCCCTCGTCTGATTAGCGGACTGGCCGGCCGCTCGTCATTCAAGGGGGGGCGCTTCTATGGACTTGTGAAAAAAGGGCCTTGGGACATATTGAAGCACCGGTTGATGCATCTTGGGTTTACTGAGGTCCTCCTCCGCCTCCTCCTGCTCATCCTCATCCCCCGCTCCGATCCTACGGGTCGTGGCCAACGCCTACAAGAGGACCAGGCACGTGGTCACGTACTGGATGGTGCCGCCAGGCATCCTGCCTGACAACGTATCGTGGCGGGCTGCTTCGCGGCCACGCACGCGCTGGCCCGGCTACCTGATCACGGATCTGAAGGCCCAGCACGAGCGGCACCCCGAAGTGCTGCTCACCGCTCACGTGGAGGACATCGGGCAGGAGGTCGTGGCCGACTCAGGGGGCGAGGCCATTGCAGTCCTGGTGCCTGGACAGCGCCGGGGACTTTCAGGACGCACTGGATCACGATCTGGACCGCTCGAGTAGAAGATCGGCTAAACAATTGATTCGTCAGATCTACAAACACACGTGTATAATGATCGTAGATCTACGAATATGTTGGAACATCTGTCCGGATTCGACGGGAATTTCAGTTTGGGGGCAAATCCATTCTGCAACCGATCTCCTACTCGACCGCCTGGCCAGGGCCTGGCACCAGCAGCCTCCCCCCGGAGCCGCGCCGGCCTCCCCGCCCTGAAGCCCACGCCCAGGTGCCTCACGGTGGCCTTGCCCGCCCGTAACAGGGCCGCCCTTGGTCGACGAAAATGTTTACCTGGGGCCGCCACGGCCTGCCGCCGAGGACAGCCGTGCCGCGGGCGGGCCTCCCCCGCGAAGCCACGGCCACAGGGAGGCTCGTCGTTTGCCCGGCAACACCTGGACTGGCCGCTCAGGGATCGGCCCACCTCCCGAAGGAGGGTGCCCACGGCGCCTGCATGCACTCACATAAAATCGAACATCGCAGCAAAAGGGCGGCAGGAGCCATGGCCAACAGAGTACATTGCCGCCCGCTGCGAGGTGCCCAAGGACGGCCACCCCCCAGACACGGCCGACCGCGCCCCTTCAAATTGACCGCTGGCTTCAGGCTGTAGTGACGAGGCCACCGTGAGGCACCTGGGCGTGGGCTTCAGGGCGGGGCGGCGGGACGGGCTTCGGGGGGGGCTGCTGGTGCCAGGCCCTGCCCAAGCGTTCGAGTAGGAGATCGACCACAGCCTTGATGTACCCCGAAATCGGAATGTGGTTCATGTTGTTCGTCGAGCCCATGAAAAATACGAAGCAGCGTTCGCACATCTACGAGCGTTATACGAATTCCATGTGCATTCTACGAAACAAATCAATCCTGGGGCAAAGCGGTTCTCTAATCGATACTCCTACTCGAACTTGGGCGTGCACTTCAGGGCGGGGCGGCGGGCGCGGCTTTGGGAGGGCCGCTGCTGCCAGGCCCTGCCCAGGCAGTGGTCCACGGCGCAGGCCCCGTGCCGCAGACGCGCATGCGCTCAGTCAAGGCGTGCCTGCGCGAGGCTCCGCGGGCGGCAGCCGTGGTGGCGACCTGCAAACGGGCGTGGCACACCGCCGTCCCCCCGTCGGCGCGCCGGGACGGCGAGGCCACGGCTTCACTGACACAGAATTCCAGGACCTCCGCTCGCGGGCCAAGCGGGTCCACGGGCACCCGTACACCAGCAGCGACATCTTTGGGGGGCTGCTGCCTTCCTCGCACCCGCTGGAGGAGTTCACCGCGGCTGGCGCGGTGAGGTATACAGAGGATGGGTGGCGGGCCACCAACGCCAGGCAGTCCAACGGGCGCGTCCTCGCTGTCATGGCCCTGAAGGCCGCCTCCCACGTGGCCAACGGGGACTTCGCGGCGGTGTGAGCAGTGCTGCTCACCCTCAGGTGGGCGGGTTGGACTGCCAAGCACGCCACCACGGCGAGGTCTCCCTGCTGATGCTGGGGCCCAAGGAGGTGGACCGCGTCTTGCAGATCGACGTACTCGGGTGTCGAGCAGAGGGCCGACGAAGCTGATGCCTCCATCTTCGGCCTCGGCGACACCACAGTCTGGTGGGAGGCGCTCCGCGCCATCGTCGGCTCTGGCCGCCCTGCACAGGCAAATCCTGATCTCCGTGAACGGCGGCACCTTCCTGACGAAGAGCCTCGCGGCGAAGCGTGGATACGCGGTCGGCGCACTCTACCCAGCCTGTGGCGTCACCGACACCCCGCCGCACCGCGTCATGGAGTGCAGCAAGCTGCAGGGTGGCAGGCGCTCCCAGGGTGAGAGCTGGTCTGAGATCGTGCCTGTGCTGGCTGCACCTTGTCCCAGCACCTCTTACCGGAGCTGCCGCCGCCCTCCCTCGCTCCTCCTTCCTCGGTCTTGAGCGACTGTATGGGAGAGGGGGAGGTTGGCATTCACCAGTCTAGACTCTGTGCGAGGGATTCAGTGGCGGGGAATGGATCAGCTTCGACTTCGCCACTCGAGTCGCTTCCCCGCGGGGGGTTCGGCTCCATGCAACGGGATCCCGCCACGGACCAGCACCTCCGTCTTCTTGGGACCCTCCCCCCGACCTCAGCCCAAACGGCTGTGGCCGCGGAGCATCAGGCTTTCGCGGAAGGGGCCCGCCACAGCGATGGCTCGTGTAGTTCCATCGGGGATGATTGCTTGGCGGTCTTCTCGCTGGTTCGCTCCTGTGTCGTCGATGGTGCGACCCCAGAGCAGAAGGCTCCCGCCGAGGTCCCCAAAAGCCCGGAGACCCCTACGAAATGGCGTGCCTGGTTAAGTGATGTGGTGGACAAGACCGCCAAACTCGCGTATAAACTGCATGACATCCACGGCCCCACGCTGGCGTTCCTCAAGGATCAGCTCGCGGGGGTCTCGAAATTCGCCCTGGCTGCCGCACGAGTCCTCGCCTGGGGGCCAGCGCCACGAGACAAATAGAAGAATCTCGTTCGCAGCGCCACGAGACGAATGAACGAACCTCGTTCGGGCACAGTGCCCCGTGGTCCCAGCCTGTAGGATCGTCCACGACTTTATCCACGTCGGGCCCTCCCGTTGGCAGTGCAAGCAGTGCATGAAGGCGAAGGTGACACCAGACCGTCAGGACTGTAGCCAGAACGACGTGCGACCCAAACTCCAGCGTGTCTTCGTCCACACCCACGGTATTGAATAGTGTTGTGAACTCACCCCTCGGCCAGAGGCCGAGGTTGGTGACGCCTTGCTGTTCTGCAAGAAATGCTGCCAGTACGCTTCAACCAAACCTCTGGGCCTGGGAAAAGGTCTGTACCAAGATTGACATCCTTGGTTGAAAACGCAACGAAGCGGTACAGCACAAGGTACGCCGCTTCATGCAGAACAAGCGCACCAAGGGCGACACTGACAAGATGGTAGTCGCGTTTTGGTCTCTCTTGGAGCAGTCCCACATGGCTGGCAAGGCCACAGTAGTCTCTCCCTAGTTTGTTTGGGCCTGGCCCCACTGGCCAGACCCTCGCCGCGTGGAGTAAAAACCTCTTCCTCCTCCCCCCCCCCTCCTCCTCTTTCTCCTCCTCACCCTCCTCCTCCTTCTCGTCCTCATCCTCATCCTCCGCCCCATCCTCCTCCTCGTCGCCCCTCCCCGTCTCGGCGCGCATCGTCGCCAGCGCGGCGACGGAGGAGGGGGCGCGTCGTCGCCGGCCCTGTCCTCGGCCCGCCGCACGTCGCCCTGCATGGGGAGGGAGAAGGAGAGGGGAGTGAGGATTACCAGGATTATCAAGATCGCAAGAGTGATTCGAGGAGGGGGAGGCGACGGGGGGGAGGGGGAGGAGGAGGAGGAGAGAGGGAGGCAGGAGGATTAGGAAGCAAGAGAAGGAGTCGAAAAAGGAGGAGGAAGAGGAGGAGGAAGAGAGGAAGGGGAGAAGGTGGCAGCGCCTTTGATGTTGGTGCCCATGCCAAGAAGTCCGAGGTCCGAGCGGGGCACATAAGGCTGGGGAGGAGGAACGGGCAGGCGAGAAGGGGGACCCAGACCTCCTCGCGCTGTGACCCACCCCCCGCCCAATAAAAATATCACATTGAAACATATGAGAGCGCGTTTCATGGGCGTTTC